GATGGTCGGCTGCCTTGCTATTTTTTGGCTTCGCATTCGTGGTCGTGCCTCATCTTCATGGTGGGTGTCAGTTTGCTTCATGTATGGATTGGAGGGGTTTAAAGTGGCTAATGATGCAGCTGTGGTCTGGCTTCTGGTTTGTGGTCGTGCCTCATCATTGGTGTTGCTTTGGGTTTGCTTTTTGCGTGGGTGTGTGGTGGTGACATCCTGTGTGGTTTTAGTGAGTGTGGGTCTGGTGTCATTCTTTGTGTTAGGGAGTCGTTTGTCAATAAGGGCGGGTTTCCAAACGGCTGGTAGGCGGGAGGTATCATCTCGTTTGTTCATGCTGTGTGGGCGTTTTTCTATCTCGATGGCTTCTCTGATTATTCTGTTATTAAAATGTTCAGTTTTGGCGATAGTTCTAGTATTTTTAAAGTCAATTTCATGTCCTGTGGCTTTAAGGTGTTGGACCAGGGGAGATGTTGGTTCCTCTTTTTTGACTCTTATGTTCTTCAATGCGTGCACTTATAAGTATATCCATTGGATGTTAGTACATTGGCGAGAGTGTGTAGTTCGGTTTTTACTAACATCCAATGTACTAACATCCAATGGATTCCAAAGAAATAAGATTACAAACCTAATCCAAAAAGAAACCCCCACTAAAATCCAAGACAGAGAACAAGAAAACGGCAAAGCCCTCCTCCCATACATAAAAGGCACCACAGACAGAATCAGCAAGATCCTCCATAAACATAACATCAAAACAGCATTCTGCACAAACAGAAAAATATCCACCATCCTAAGAAACCCCAAAGATAAAATTGAGTTAGAAAATCAAGGAGTATATGAAATCCCATGCACTGCTTGTCCTAACACATACATCGGACAAACCAACAGAAGAATAAGTGCACGCATTGAAGAACATAAGAGTCAAAAAAGAGGAACCAACACCTTCCCTGGTCCAACAACTTAAAGCTACAGGACATGAAATTGACTTTAAAAATACCAGAACTATCGCCAAAACTGAACATTTTAATAACAGAATAATCAGAGAAGCCATCGAGATAGAAAAATGCCCACACAGCATGAACAAATGAGATGATACCTCCTGCCTACCAGCCATTTGGAAACCCGCCCTTATTGACAAACGACTCCCTAACACAAAGAATGACACCAGACCTACACTCACTAAAACCACACAGAATGTCACCACCACACATCCACATAAAAAGCAAACCCAAAGCCACACCGATGATGAGGCACGATCACAAACCAGAAGCCAGACCACAGCTGCATCATTAGCCACTTTAAACCCCTCCAATCCATACATGAAGCAAACTGATACCCACCATGAAGATGAGGCACGACCACGAATGCAAAGCCAAAAAATAGCAAGGCAGCCGACCATCTTAAACCCCCCTGAAACTCAGACTAACCTGAGCACAACAAAGCCCCCACCAAACAGAACACTCCCCCATCCAATCAGAGCACATCCAACCCCCCATCCAATCAGAGCACAGCCAAACCCCTAACCAATCAGAACACACCTCCACCCAATCAGAACACAGCCAAGCTCCCATCCAATCAGTTCAAAGCTCCACTGACAGTTAAAAGGAAGAAACAGCTAAGACCACACATTGCTCCTCGAAGCACGAAGCTGAAAACACCAGCCTGAAGATGACGAATGGGACTTCGTCAAAACGTCACCAAGACACTTCCAATTTTACGCGGGAGAAAACCCGAATAACCAAAGACCTATACACACACACACACACACACACACACACACACACACACATACATATATCTGGATACAGGTTTAGATCACTTGATGCTAATTTATAATACTTAGTGCATGTAAACATATTATTAGATTCAATTATTAAAGATTTATAAATAAGATTAATAAGAAAATTACATTTTACTTAGCTGGGTAATATATTGGTAATAAGCAAGGGATCCGCCTGGTTAATGCTTGGAAGTGGCTACCAGGGGATTCCAGGTCTGTATTCTATTCTGGGAAGCCAAAGAAGAAATCAGAAGACAGTAATGGCAAGCCACTTCCATTCTGCTGCCATAAAAACTATATAAATAGGTTTATAACAGCACTAGAAGTTGGGTGCAACTCAGAAATCTTAATATTTAAAGTAAATAATAGATTTATTTATTTATTTATTTATTTGGAGTGCTTTTATAACTTTGTTCATTCTTATACTTACTATCAGCATGTTAGCTGACAAATAAAAGAAGCTAATCGCATTAACTTTCTTTTGACTCTGTGGTAGAGCAAGAATTAAAAATTGGCATATACAAATTATGCTAGATATGGAAAGAAAAATGGCTTTACTACAATTTCATACCCTTTTAGGTCATGGAGCACACACATATAGAAAGTTCCTAGATTTAAAATGATAACATATTCCTGACATCAAGATTCTAGTAATTAGTATCCTTCAGGGAAGAAATGGCAGACTGACGGTGATTCTGTGAAAAGTGGAGCTGACAAATGCAATGGAATGTATGGCTGGCAAGTACACCAAGTCTTTGATAATTCTTTTCCAGACATGGAGAGGATTCAAGATTATCAATAAGTGCTCCAGATGGCTACTCCTCAAAAGGAGATAGAAATCTCCAGCTGGTTAGAGGAAATGACCATCTTGCTCAAAACATATTAATGCCTTTGAAAGAATAGTAAGTTAGCATACTTCCTTTCTAATTATTTTTGGAAATTGCTCTGCTAACTGTTCTACAGCTGTACAAGTCATTGCATTGAAAGTTTTATAGCTCCAGTTGAATTTTCTTCAATCCTTTTAACAAATTTAAGAACTTATTTTTTTGTCAAATCAAAAGGTTGATTAAAACTTTGATTTTGGAAAGTTATAAACAACTAATGGTCCAAATAAATTTGAAATAAGAGTTTGGAATTAATTAAAAAGAAGCCTTCCCATGGAAAAATGCTTTTGTTTTTGAGGTGTCTTAAAGATTTCAATAGTTTTGTGAGAAGAAACAAAAAAATGAAAAGAAATCAAGTTCAAGATTGATATTTGAAGGGATTAAAGACTAAGAATGTTAGAAGTAAAAGGAAGGGATATAACATTAGCTTATTTGATTAAGGTGCTAACATCAGAACTGTTTGATTATTTATAGATAAAGACAGGATATGGGAAGATCATTTGTTGTTATTTAAGAGAAGATGACAACTTACTAAATTATTTATGTTTGTGATATAGGTAGAAAGTTACTTTATTTCTTTTCTTTTACTGTACAGTATTTTATTTTTCCATTTTATTTTTCCATTTTTTTCTTTCTATTCTGCATCTTTTACTCTTTCTTTTTATAATTTTATTTCTTTAGTTTGTATTAGTTTTTATTGATATAATTCTAATCTTTAATAAAATTACTATATAAAAAGATTTTAGTAATTAGCAATCGCTGGAGCTAAGCACCAATTTTTTTTCTTTCTCAAATGTGATTACAAAAGAAAAAGAAACTATATGTATTCACTGTCTAGAGAATTGCTTTGATAGGTGAATTCTCAAAAGGTTGTATCAATCAAGTTTGCAATAATTTCTAACTGTAGGAAAGAGAAGAGCAATTCTAGAAAAGCCCTAGAGCATAAGGCTGGTTGAAAAGCTGGTCACAACTGCTATTATAAGAAAAGATTATCAGAGAATATCTATTTCATTTTTCCAGAGAATGGATGAGTAGACAATGTCTACACAAATTAATGATATTTCAACTAGTGATGTTAAATTAATATCAATGCCTATTAGAATTGAATGAATAATTTGTAATGTACTGAATACATTATAACTTGACCATTTCATGGAATATTATGAGCCAGTAGCTTTTTCCATTTTATTTATTATTTGCAAAAGTCTAAGAAGCCTTTTGCAAATTTTACTACCTTATATCCTTTAAAAGTTTGATTACTTGCTCATTTGAATGTTTATTTAAGTTAGATGTGGTTTTCTTATTGAGTGAAAACAGCCCTTCCAAATTTGGTATGGAAGGAAATATTGTAAATGGAAGAGAAAAATGTCTGCATATGTGAATCTGCATACTGACTTGTTTTCATGATGTTTTCTGCTTCAGCTTACAAATATATGCCAATTACAGCAAGAGAAAGGAATGTATCTAAAAGAAATACCAGACATAAATCCTGATTATCCAATCTATAGTTATTAGTTTCTTATAACGTTGCCCAATTGCCAGTCAAAAATTCTGATCACATTTAATCAACCAAAAGAATCTTAAAATAGTGAAATAAGTCACAGAGTGTAATTAGAGAAGCTTCAAACTTTTGAAAAAGCAACTAAGTGCATTTTACAAAGATAAATTTACAGAACTATATTCAGCATATACAACACTGATGGGTACCTAATAAAATTCAGTCAATTGAATAAATATCTGCACTACAGCCAAACTTCCTTGATGATAGAAATACTAATAACATCCTTTTTTCCTTGAGCAAACATAATATTTAGATATCTTGTTTTCAACTAAGTGGATCCATCCATTTATTTATATTTAGCAAATATTCTTAACCACATGCTCTTTAATGCCCTTTGGTGAGTCTAAACTCTACTAGGCTGGATTAGACTGTTAATATTTAAAATTTGGTTAGCATTAAAACAATATCTATACATTCATGGCTGTTATAGAAAAGGGAGATTCCAAAGTAACCCACTTTAGCAAAACATTTCTAGGGACCCCTTTTTTTAGTTTTTGTGCTTAACTTTCCAAATATGCAAGACTGCAAATTTTCATGAGAAAAACACACCCATACCCTAACTAAAATCATAATATAATTAATAATAAAGTTATATTTTATTAATGCACTAATAAAAACGAGCTTGCAGTCATGCTTAATTAATTAAACGGCGCAGAGATGACGTGAAGTGAAATAAAAGTAATAAAGCACTATGCCAAATTTCCTAGCAATTGGCTAAACTTGATAAATAGAAAAATATATTTCCTGATTAAAGTGTCTAACAATTCTCTATTCATCTTGAGCTTACCTTACATTGGCAAGATGGGCAGTTGTTAGATTAACCAGAGCTGTAGCAGCAGCTTCTTTTACCTCTTCATTTTCGCTGCTTAGCAACTGAACGAGCTGGGGAATTCCTAAGAGAGAAAAAATGTATAGAGGCAGTTTTAAATTAATTATGGAAACATTGTAAATTGGTGAATATTTTCTTCTGGTCATAATTTCATTGTCACCATAACTATTTACCTAGAGCTCCAATGGTTTGTTTACTAGCTAAATTCTCACACATAGCAGATATGGCTTGAGAAGCAGCTATTTTTGTTCCTTCATTATCCGTTCCCAAAAGGGTGACAAGACATTTTTCAACTTCTTGTTCATTCAGGATTTTTCTGTTTTCAGCTGTTTACAAAGAAGAACAACAAGTCATGATAGGTATCAACCTTCAGTTAAATAAGATTGTACTTTTGTAAAAAATATTCATTTCTGTGCAGATATCATTGCCAGCAAATATTAACATTACTATATTAATGTAGATTGAAGTATCAGCTTTTAAACAGCTTCAAACATGGTGAAGTCTGCAGAAATAATCTTACCAAAGATATATTTCTAATCAGGAGCTCTAAGTAAGTGGGTTTGTAATATTAAATATTATGTCCACTTTAAACAAAACATGCATCTGTACCCCTCAGATCTATTCTCACTAGGTTACAATGCTTCCACTCAATTAGTGCTAATAGGAGCCATGTGTACGGAAATTAAAAGGTCATTCTTACAGTAGAGATACTGTGTATTTGACAGTTGCAGTGCTAATCAAATTAATGCACAGGCTAGACACAATGGAAGAGTGGTTAAAAAAGTGTTTTATTCCTCTTTCTCAAATCTCTTTATTCTCCCTGCAAATCCAGACTAACAGAAAGAAATAAAAAGATTGTTAATATGTTCAATTCCATCACCTGATGATAAGCATTTATGTGAATATAGTATACTTTAACATTACTGTACTGGTACATTCTTCTTGATATGTTTAATGAAGTCAAATTCAATTCTGTACTCATTCAGGATCAGAACAAGTGAGTTTGCCACCCACAATTCTTTCTAATGTGATGAATAAAGATTGCCTGCTCCCTATCCATCCCATGTCATACACTATTAGAATGTGAATAATTCAGTGCTACTGTTAATGGTACATATCCTAGCTAATGCCTAGAAAGGCATTATTGCTTTTAGCTTAGTTTGTGAAGAACAGTAAACATAACCTAAAAAATATTCTAGAATGCAAGATATTATGAGAAATGCAGATATTGCTATATCAGTACTGCTTCATTTAATTTAAGCATACAAATATCCTGAAGCACATTTACTTTTCTTCTGAGACGTGACTGAAAATTAAAGTTTAGCTTTAACATTTTAAATAAAAATGTAAATATTATATATTATTAATTTTATTAATTCCAATTCATTGCTATATCAAAATATAAAACCATAATTGCTAAATTAAATGATTAATTATTGCATTTAATATATTTAAACTATAGGAAGGATATTTCTTGGATAAAATAATTTATCCAATTGATTCTATAGCATTATTCCATTTTCAAGATATAATAAGGACAAGAAGCTCTTATAATCTTTTCATCATGACCAAAATGTTATATTGGTGAAAAAGACACAAAATAGGCCATTATTGGTGGCAAGTATATTTTGGGGTCTTTTAAATTATTGATGCATTGTTTTAATTTATAGTTCAATTGAATTCTCAGGACATCTCAATGGTTTTGTTCTCATTTGTTCCTTTATTAATTAACCTTTGATGGCATATCTCAAATTTCTCTGTCTTTCCCCTGGGCAATCTTTAATGGATGCTTACGGGGACACACTTAAGTCGACAGTTTGGCAATATGAACCAATAAATTAATTCTAGAACTGACAAAAATTGCTTTCTTAAAAGAAAATTTATCTTTAGTTTAAAATATTTATTTCACACATTTATAATAAATCAATATATTTTTAATTAGATGCCTATCTACGTCATCTGCTCAGGTAATTTTACCTTCTATGCAGCTTAATAGAGAATTTTACTGGGTGTTTGTTTTACATAAGACTACTGACAAAAGAAATAAGGTTTGCCACAGCAGCCATATTTAACAGCAAGTACTCCAGAGAGGGCATTAATTGGGATTACAGATTGGCTTGACTCATAATAGACTTTGCCTCTGGCTTGATGCTTGCAAAACTTGTGTGTAATCCCTGAAAGTGGTCTCTAGAGGGTTCTCCATTCTTCAATCATTTGATTTTGATACAGCAAGTTATACTACATGTTTCTTGGTATCTGGAACAAAACTACATATTACATTCTCATTTTTCTTGTACAGAATAGTCATGATAAAAGGATATTTGAAATATTCATTGCTTGGATTCTAAAATATGAACAAAAGGAAATAAGGTGAACTTTTTCCAAGCTTAATAAAATAATAGGATTAAAAGAAAATTAACCACAGAAAAACTAAGATTTTTAGTGATGTTAAGATGATAGCACATTGTTTCCAAGGAATGAGACTGAAATTCCCGCAAAGATTACATCCAGTAGAATGGACTGTAAATTAGTAAAACTTGCCTGGATACCACTTTGTAAAAGTAATATTAATACTAATACTAACAATTGCTATAGTATGATAGTATTATCTGGAAGTAAGCTACATGGATTTCAATTGTACTTATTTTCAAATAAGCTTCCTTAGGATTGCAACATTTTCCTATGAGCAGGAAGGTGGGGCATGAATGATGATAATGATCGATCACTTCCACAGCTAGTCTATACATTTAATTACAATAATCTTTTAATGGCTTACTATTCAGTCAAATTTGTCACTGGGAAGATAGAACACCAATACTATATAAAAGTATTTGCAACACTACAGCCTCACATCAAAGCAAACAAGTAAACATATGGTTAAAAACAATTCTATGTGTATTAAAACCAAAACCAAAAGGCATTTTTAAAAATCAGACTCATTCACTCAATCTGTCTCCCTCCCTCCCTCCAATTTTATAAAAATAGTACATGGTCTCAAACAGACAGTATAACTGAAAGCCTAGTGAAATACTGTTTGATCATGTTTCTTAATCAACATTCATCAAATTAAAAGAATTATAGTCAGGATGGCTTTCCTTGGAAAATACATTGGCAAAAGAGCATTAAAGTCTTGAACTTTCTGTTGGGCTTAGCCATTTTATTATATAGCAAAAATATAGAAACTGATATCTCAAATTCATTTATTATATAGTAAGTTCTGGGAATATTCTTCAAAAAATACTTTATGTAATTAGCTTCTTTATTCTCCAATTTTGTGATTAAAAACTGAAACTAAAATATTTATTAGCTTGAAGATCTATGTGGATAGTGATATTTCCCAGAAATAAAGTAGTAGAATAAAATAATAATAATAAACATATATTGGTCCATTAATATCGTCTTTAACTAGACTGTGATTAGTTCTTAAAAATAAATTTACAATTCAACTTGGCTACCCAACAGAGGAGGCAGCAGAGAAAAAGAAATAAAATACAGAGGACAAAAAGATTCCCTGCATTAGAAATTGTGTACAACAAATATACATAAATTAAAATAAGAATGTGAGAGGTGCTAGAAATAACTAATAACCAAGAGATGGTTAAAATAAGAACTGTCTAAGTCTGTCACAGCTTATGTCATAAGAATCCCTTGAGGGGCTAAGAATCTTATTACAGACAATAAGAAGTACATTATTCTCTATATTATTACATTTTGCTATATGGCACTGCTGTGCTTCAACTGCAGCTTGACAAATCACAATATAGATGCCACTCTGAGACATATTTAAATAGCATTGTCATGCTGAGTGCAAGATACTTCCATCCAGTCTGCATGCTTCAGAATTCCATGGTGAATTTGGGAGCAGTGAACTGGTCATATAAATAAAGAATTACAAAATAGATCATTACAAAAAGATAAAATGAAGAGGTTAATTCCCTGGGGACATTAATTTATAAGATATTTTGAGGCAAGTCATATTTTAGAAAGAAAATGTCTGTGTCTTAATTTATTCAGATTAGATAATGATGATAAAAAATCAGTCTTGTGAAGGAAAAATATTTTCCAAGAGAAAATTCAGAAATAAATTCAGTATCTTGGGATGAGTTGTTTAGTTTAATAACAAACTATTTATTTGTGAGAATTTTTTTTACCCACATGTCCTCTTTGCAAACAAATGAATGCACATTCTAAAAAATAAGTGGATGTTACAGTATTTTATATGAACTGTCTGTGTGCCTGTGTGTTTGTGCACAGACAAGTACAGAGGATAGAAGATTTGCAAGAAAACTCAATGGCTTGATTTAAGATATATTCAAAATGGGCCATATCATTCTAACTTTGTCCATTCTGAAGTAAGCCCATTATGTGAATGTGCTGTAAAAAAGCAGAGAGGGGAAAAGGAGGAGAAGGATGGGGAAGGTCATTGTGTGGAGTGTTTCTCCATGCTTTTTATATCAACCTGTCTATTTACATATATTTTATCTAAACGCAGGGCATATATGACATTTGACATGGTTGCTGTGTGGTTTACTCTATAATATTCAAATATAAAAGCTATTTAATTAACCTGCTTCCAAGAAATAAAGATACTGGATCTTTAACAGAAGAGAGTGCCCACCGTACTATTAGCAAGACAACTGGTTTCATGCCTTATGAACTTTGAAAGAATCTTCCTTAGCAGGTACCAGAATAACTGATCCAGCATTTCTTCCTGACTTACAGAATGATAATCTCAGGCAGCAAAATTTTCTTGTGCTAAAGTGGGATGACAGGATGCTTGCAGTCTTATCGAAATGTATATCACTGCATTGTAGAGCTAATAAGATGTAGGATATGACATGACTGACTCCTTATTTTAAGAGACTTCAGTCAAACTCGTAAGATTTAATAATGGCATCTAATCATAAAAAGGAACCACTAACTGGACATTCATATACTTTAAAGGCTTTTCTCAAGACATAGGAATTTCAGTAATGACGTACGATCAGCGGCTGCTTTAGCAATAGCTTTTGCGGCGTTCTTCTGAAAATCAGTTAGAGTGGAAACTTCAGTAAAGGCCAGTAGCTTTCTGAGACCCCCTGTCTCCTGGATCAGTTGCATAGTATCCACATCCTCAAGACAATTTGCCACAACTCCAAGAGCTTCTACATGTAGATCATTAAATTCCTTTAAGTTAAAAAGATGCAGATATTAAATCAATATTGTACAATGGTTTAAAACTATGATTTTACTGTTTTCTGACCACATATTATGGTATACCATATTCCAATAATGCAGTTATCATTATTGATGTATATAAAAACACTGGTCTGGTAAACTAATATGCCATGATAGGATACCTTAATTGCAGCAAAACATTTGACAACTTCTCCCATTTTGAAAGTGTTCAGAAGCTACAGCTGGTGCAGTGTATGGCAGCACAGGCAGTTCTTAGGGCCCCTTGAGTGGTCCATGCTACACCACTGCTTTGCAAGTTGCGTTGATTGTTGATCTGCTTCCGCATGCAATTGAAGATGTTGCTCATCACTCTTAAAGCCCTGCATGGCATGGGTCCAATCTACTTGAGGAACTATTTTACCCGGATGAGACTGGCCCATCCACCTGCACCGGCAGAGAGGACATACTGAGGATCAGCCAAGGAATTTTGAATGCATTTTGAATGACATCTAGTGATGGATTTGAGTACAGCACTATAACTAGCTTCCCAACTGCTTGGTGATTCCTAGTTTAAGGGAGAACAGCTGGCAATAAAGGAAAATATTTTGGCATCCTTATCACCTGACCCACTTGGACTATAAACACCTATAGAGCTTGGATTTTTAATCTCAATAGCTAGCGGGAGAGAAAGAAAAAAATGACTTTTGACTACATCTGGTGGGAGAGACTTTTGAGCTGTTTTCAGGGAGGGTGAACATTCTGAACTCTTTGAACATTGTGGATTACAACCTTTCCTGACTGATAATTTTGGGATACCTGAGACAGAGGATCACTATAAAATATTGCTTGTAGGACTGGACCTATGTTTTGGAACCTATTGGATTATAAAGGCTACATATAAAGACCAGAAAACTAGAGAAAACTTTGTTCTACTCTTACTGAGACTGGTGATATTAGAGGATCTCCAGGAACAATGCCTCAAGAGAAAACAAATACCTTTCAGAAGGAAATATACTCTATGCTGCAACTAATTCATCAAACAATTGTTGCACACAAAGTAGACATAAAAGAAACTATAATGAGACTATAAATAATTTAGATAATATAAATGAGCAAATCTCCAAATTAAATCTACAACTAGAAAGTTCCCAGACAATTACTACAAAGTATGAACTAACCAGAAATCAGAAGGTAAAGCAGAGGAAATGGACCTAGAGACGGAAGAGATAAAAGAAGGGAAATATAAACTACCTATACAAATAAAATACTGCAAGACTTACCCATAACAATAAAAATGAGGTATGCAAAATACACCTGATAACAAGGAAGAAGGTTTTTAAAAATGGAATATAGAGCTGTCAAGGGAAATGTTACAATTTGGGAGACAAAAAATGAAAAGAGAAGCTGAGGGAGAAGGAAAGTGGGAGTTACTTAAGGAATATAAATGGGTGAAAATTCCCCCCCCCCCAAATACCCTACCTAAATTGTCTTCCTCATGCCAAGCAACTTTCACAAAAGTAGAAAGAAAATTCCTCGGCGATTTAATTGCCTTGGCTTGGAAAACTACTTGGCAAAGAAAGAAAGCAAGTTAGATTTAAAAAAAATAGATTTAACCTATTAGAGGGGGCATTATATGTTTAAATACTTGTTTGAATATGATTAAAAGAACGCATAGCCCTTAGATATAATTAGATTTTTATAATGAAAGATATGATTTAGAATTAAAATAGCATTATTTTTTTCTTTTTTTGATATGGGAAATATGAAAATAAGAGGACGATTGGTATGAATAAAACTTTTAGCTATATAAATTAATTAATATTGAGAAAATCATAACTGACAAAGATACTTCAAATATTGATGGGAAATCAAACTTTAACAAGAGCATGAAAAACAGGATATTATGAATTGATATTATTGTTATTTGTATGATATTAGTAAAATATCATGAAGATGTTTATATCTAATTTTGTAAACATCAATAGTACCAAGAATTGTAACTGTGTAATGAGGGGAAAATGGAAAAAATATGGGGAAGAAAGGAGGATCAGGGAAAAAACACTGGATTGTGCAGTACTGAATAGATTTATATTGAAGAAGTTAATGTTAAATATGTGAACCCAGCCAACATGTTGTTTACTAAGCACTAAAGATTGTAATTCTTAAAAATCAATAAAACATTAAACTACAAAGAAAGCTGGATTAAAACAATAGAGAAACTGGACTTGAGCACAAGTAGCCATAAAGCATGGAGATTGTTGAGCACCTGAATAATAATCCAACTTGCCCTAGAGATCATGTCAACATGACTGCAGACCAAATAATGTCATCTTCTTAAGAATGGCAACCCAGATCAAAGGCCATCAAAACACAAGATTAAGAAATAGAAATAAGGAAGATGAAACTACCAACTTGTCATCTCCCTTTATTATGGAAGTACCGAGAGAAACTATAAGGAAGTGAAGGCCACGGAAAGCTGCTGATTTAGATGACATCTTTATTGAACAGGTAAAGCAATATGGAATGAAAGCAAGACAGTTGCTACTAGAAATGTTTAATGAATGCTTGGAACAATGTAAGATTCCTAGTATCTGGTGAAAGGCTAAGGTTATAGCCGTTTTAAAACCAGGTAAAGGCCAATAATCCTAAGAACTACCATCCAATTTCTCTCTTGTGCTATATCTATAAAATCTTTGAAAAAAGTATACAAAATCACTTCACTATAATTTTTCATTCCACAGCAGGCTGTATTTAAGACTGAAGCAAAAGTTTACGATATGACTAAATATTTTAAATTTACAAATATCATCAGAAATTTGCTTCAGAACCATATGTTTTTTGTGAAGTAGAAGGAAGAAGTAGAAGGAGGAACCAAAGGAATGGCTTATAACAGGGTAGTATATTGTCTCCAAATTTTTTTTAATCTTTACACCAATGATCAGCTGCTCCCTGAAGATACTAAAAACTATATGTATGCTGACGATCCAGCAATGGCTATATAGGGAAAAACATTTGAGGAAGTTAAAAAATGTTTAATTGAAGCCCTAGTAGTGGTGGATTGATATTGTTGTAATAACCAGTAAAGCTCAAATCTAGCAAAAAGTCAGGTATGTGCCTTTTATCTTCACAATAAGCAGGCTGCTAGGAAGCTGCATGTTATATGGAAGGGGACATTATTGGAGCTTTGCCACAGCCCTAAATATTTAGGAGCCACTCTAGACATGCCTAATATTTAAACAGCACTGTACCAACACTAAACTGAAGGTTAGTAGACGAAATAACATCCTCAAGAAATTAATGAGCTCTATTCTGATCTGCCAGACCAAGGGTCCTTCAGACAACAGATCCTACTCTTTACTACTCAAGCAGGTGAATATGCCTACCCAGTCTGGTATAAATCAATACATGCTGGAAAAGTTATGTTGCTCTGAATGAAGCTAGCAGAATTATTACCGGACGCTTTAAACCTACCCCTCTAGATAAGATCTACCACCTAGCCAGCTTTGCCCCGCCTGCTGTTCGCAGACAAGAAGCAGCATACAGAGAGAGGTTTAAATCATCTGCCTCTAGACCACATCCTCTCTATGGTCTACAACCTGCTCAGCAGAGACTAAAATCCAAGCAAAGCTTCCTTAGATTGACTGAAGACTTTGAAAACTTTGAAAGCAGAGTGGATCTATGGAAAGCTACAAAGAACCAACATTGGATGTAACCAGTGGAGGATCTGGACTTGAGTCTGACAAAAGCTGGGAAGTATGGAAATCATTGAATAGACTGCACATGGGTACAAGATCCAGAGACACTCTGAACAAATGGAGCTATCCAGTTGCTACTGTTCTTTGCAATAGTGGTGACATGCAGACAACAACACATATGTATACCTTCCCTTTGTGTCCCAATCAGTGTATACTTGAGGACTTCATGGCAGCATGACAGAACACAATTAATGTTACTAGTTTCTGGACAAGATTTGTGCATATTTTAATCTTGTATTTTATACTTTAAATGTTATGTTATATAGTATGCCTTATATAATATGCCTTATTTTAATTGTGATAATTGTGAGGTGAATAAACAAATATCCACACATAACATTAGGCCACATCACGGTTTGCCAATAAAATTCCTGTATAATTCTAATGAATCACATATACTCACAAATAAATTATATGGTGATTTTGTATAATATATAAATCAATCAAATAAAATTTTATAAAATATTAAACTAAATGATCCTCGCATTGAGAAGATATCCCAAATGTATGGATCTAATATTGATCTCTGCAAATACTGTTCATTCTAAAGTGCTCTCTAGCCTGATGAAACCAAGAGAACATTATTCCATATAATTAGAAAGCATTCACTTTATCTCAAGAACATCTGATTATCTGTATTCCATTCAATTTATAATTAGTTCAGTTGACAATATTACTTTAATCAATTAAAGAAATAAAATATCTTATCAAACTCAAAAGTCTTCTTAATTAACCAAGAAAAACCCCATACTGCCCTTTTAACAAAAGTATTGTCATTAAAGACATAGTTCCTCATGTGTACAAGAACGATTTTTCTAACTTTCATATTAACTACTGCATTTTTTTTCACATGCAATTTCTTCAGTTTGAATTGATTAACTAACCAAAATTCATATCTTTGATGTTTTAAAGGATACCTTAGTTTCCAGTATCTTGAAAAGATGATCTAATCCTTGATTTTCTCTTAGCATCACTCTTGTTTCTCTGTCAATGGTAATGACACCTAAAGTTTTGAGTGCTAACAACTGAATAACTGGGTAGTCAGATTTCAGAAGTTCCAACAAAGGAGGAATTACATTTAATTCGCGTATTGCAGCACGACTCTGAAAATCCTATATGTAAATATCAAATAAAAATGTGATTGGAGAAAAACAATATAAAGCACAGTACAATTATGACTGTTAAAAATGAAATAAGTTAGCTCAAATACAGTTTAAAGATATTTCTTCAACACTTCAAATATTGAGTTCCATCTGTCATAAATTATATGTTAAACAGAGCAAACCTCAGAACATTTTTAGCTTACAAATAATTTATACATGATAAACTTTACCAGAGAAAATTTCTAGTATATTGATAAAAGAGGAATAAAAGAAATGCAGTTTGATCATTTCATATTTCTATACATCTTCATATCTCTACTTTCTTGCCTTGGTAAATATTTAAACTTTTTTCTGACTGCAACATTAAAATAGTAAAAGTTACTAGTTTTAAGTTTAAAAAAGACATTTTTTTCTGTGCAGTTTTCTATACAATTTCACTTATCAGTTTAAACAAGCACCAGGTGCAGTTGTCCTGATATACCTAACAATAAGGATAGATAGCCAAAGAATGGAAACAGCGAAATGTGATTCAGAATAAAGACATGCTCTGGTGCCCTAGAAAAGATTGAACTGTGAATTGAATTCATTACAGACTTGATTCACTTATAACTTGGTCCACAACCCTGTTCAATTGAAGCACTTGGATTTAAGCCAATTTGGTACCATTTAAATCAGGAGAGTTAAAGTAACTTAAGTCCCACTGTTTCAGCTTCACTGAATTGTAGATTGAGCTATTAGACTTTGAAAAGAGCTCTCCTACCAATTTACTATTCTTTTGCTAACCAGCCTATGGTGACATTAGCACTGATTGTGAAAGTAACCAATTACAATAACCTTCCCCCCTTCTGAAAAGAAGCTGTCAAAATCATTTACTAAGAGTTTAAATGGTGCAAAATCATTATGTGTTAGGCAAGAATAATGCAGAAATAATACTTCTTATTCCAAACCCTCAAAAATGGACATTTTATAGCCTTCCATAGAACTTAAACATTTTTCCAGATGATGAAGAGAATAGACTGTATGCATTCTTCTACTGAAAATTATTTCCTTTATAGACATTTAAATGGAGCATGCTCTGACCTATGTTACACACATTTAATTAACATATTTAATCAGAATCAATGAGACCTGCCATTTTGTAAATCACCCTAATTCATTCAAGTGACATCTGACATCCAGCCCTTGCTATTTGAAAGCAGTAAAACTTTTGTGAGCAGATTCAGATCTGTGGGCATAGCGATAGCATTAATCATATTTTTACTAAGGATGGAAAACAGAACTTGAATGTTTCTCCATGTTTCTTATAAGCTCTTTTATTTTCCTCCTAAGTAATTTACAATCAACAGTCTTATGGATTAAAATAATGACATCAGCTGTGTTAAGTAGAAGGGAGGAATTCATCAAGCAAACCAGCCCATGCCAGTTTGAGGAGATATGAGGATATGTTTGAAAATGAGATGGCAGGAAAAGTTGGGTAAATAAAATGCAGGTCAAACACAAATCAGCATCAATATCATTTATAGAAGAAGACATTATTTTCTAATGAAAAATGAAGGGAAAACATCACCTGCACTAGATTATAGATGCATTCCACACAATTCTTCTTAACATCAGGATCAGGACTTCCTAGCAGTCGGATAAGAGGCTCTAGTCCACCTTGCTCAAATATTTGTACTTTACTATTATAATCAACTGACATATGTACGAGACAAAGGCTAGCGAACTCATGGATGACAACCTCTTCTACAAAATATTTAAAAATGACTGTGATCAAACATTATCCAGTAAAAAATATGCACATTTTATAAGCAAAGTGTTGATATATACTCAATTAAAACCAAACTGTAATTATTTTCAAGATTTTAAAAATAAATGGGAACATATATTTATTTAAAATTATCCAAAAGATTACAGTCCTACAAAAATATGTTGCCAAATGGGAACAGAAAGATTTTGTTTTCATTTTTGTATTTTTATGCTCATTGTTTTTATAAAGTCTTATACCATGTATGTGATGCTGATTTTATATTTTAGGTAAGCTGCTAACAGTCTTTCAACTGCAGTGATAGAAATTGAGAAACAAACTAAAAAATAATTTAAAAAGTAAAGCCATGACCATGAATATGTGGAAATGGCTTGGGAGACAGGAGGAAAGTCAACTGTCATGCAAAAGGCATCTCAGTCCACAGAAGGAAAAGAGACATGGGAATCATCTCAAAAAAGATCATCCCTAATTTTCTGGAAATTAAAAGTAAAGAAGGGGAGAAGTACTTTCCGATTTGCAAAGTTTTGTTATTGCAATCTTAAAATAAATGTAATGCTAGTACTCAGTAGACAACTTATTGGGTCATTGTTTCAGAGATATTTATTTAAACAGAGAAATAGAATGGCCAAGGGCAAAAAAACAATGGGAGTGGATGCAACCATGACACAGGATTGATCTACTTGATTTACTTGATCTACTTGTTCTCCAGAAGCGAGGAGGGTGGGCAGTCTACCCAGCTTTCAGAGGGCTAAGATAGAACTGGTCTACTGAAAATCTGGGCGGTGGCACAACAGTGTGGTAACACAGAAGTGACCACAGATTTGCTCCATTTCAATCCCACAGGAGTCATGGATCCCAATTTTGGATACATTCTGTAAATTAGCCCATTTGAGGTATCTTGTTTCAAAAATCATTGCTGTATGATGCACTGTTTTGCCCAGTTAAAGGTTACAGACACAAGAATTTTAGTTGTATATACAGTAGATGGTTGGTGCTTCTTGACATGGTGCTTCTTGAAACACCATGTGATTAAAACCCCACCTTTTTAATCTGTGCTTTGGCATATAAGAGGGGCATCAATCATACAGCTGCAGCTGCTACTTTGACTTTTTTTTACTTCCCCAGCAAATAAGAGAAGCAAGGATTTACCAAAAAGATGCTGCAAGTTACCTTCTGGTGCCAGACGAGCTATAAATGCACTTGTGACATCAAGCTGCCGTAGTGATTTCTTCACATCATCTATAATGAATGACATAAAGCAATATATTCTGTTAATTGAAAGGATAAAATATGCTGTCATGACTAATAATGCAGATATAATACTATTGTTTAATCCTATAAAGGAGATGTGGTATTAAAGGATTGGCCTGGAAGAACACAGAAATAGACTATGTTTCACTTACAGTGGACAGGGAAAAATATATTTCATGAAATCAATAAAACTAAACAGCAAACAATTTCCAAAATGGAATTATGTATCTTTTGTTTGCCAAGCATCAGACATACAATAATATTCCATCAGGATAATTACTGATTTTGGCAAAATTACTAATGCCCAGCAGTTTTTGAATGGCTTACGGATTTATTTAAAAATAATGTAGTTTTTCTTCAGCAGATATCGTCCTATTTATGACAGCACTCTTAATCTTACAGTGCTTTGGTTTCAGTAATAATTTCACAAGATATGAAATACTTGTTAAGAATTCAATATACTATATTGAAAATCCATATTTTTCATCAAATCATAATGCCAATATAACACTTTTTTGTAAGTTTTCACTATGTGTACACTTCCTTCTGTTCTCCTGGCTCTGCTACATATTTGTATATGGATATAAATATACCTCATGTAAAATCCAATGCTGGTAAATCTCAACTTGGGAGTCTTATTCTGCTAACTGAAGATCTATTTCTGATAAGCAAACACCTTTGTCTGATTACAATTTAGTGCCACTTATGTCCTGGCAGCTTGATTATTTTGCCAGCCTGTCAAATACTTCTGCTAGCTTTTTACAACATTAATAAATACGAGGAAATATGCAACTTATTACTTTCAATTTTAATTAAATTAAAGCTTGCACCAAATAAAGTTCAGTTTTCACCCTGCTTTCACCTTCTTTCTCAACTTGGTTATGCCCACTTCTTGGAGTGAAGCTTCTAATAGGGCTCTTAAAAGCCAGTGTTGCTTAGGCTAAAGAAATTGCATACTCAACTTACTTAACAGTAAACTCCTCAGGTCTTGTACATTTTTGTTTCTCTTCATAGACCTTTTTTACATTTTTTTCTGTTTCAGAACCAAGGTTATTATAATAGAACAGTTCAAACCCAATGGTGCTTTTTCAAGAGGCAACTGGACTTTATTTTTTTTTCTTTGAAAATGTTTCACTTCTCATCTAAGAAGCTTCTTCAGCTCTGACTAGAGGGTGGGAAATGAAAGGATTTATATTCCTTGCAGACAGCTGGTCACTTGCATTCTTTTAGAGAGTCGTTGAGACCAATTGGAGGTTTATCTGTGTACTCACAATCACCTGGGTAGTGCAAATGGCTGTGGAACCTTCTTGGAACTGCTGAAAGGACTGTATTTTAGACTGGAGACAGATGATATCATAGCCCTCCCTCTCTACTGAGAGAGGATTGTTCAATTTTGACACAGATGAAAACCCATAGATCTGTACATTGGCAAAACAAAACAACCACTTCATAAATGCATGGCACAACACAGGAGAACACACCCATCAGGACAAGATTCAGCAGTCCATTTGCATTTAAAAGATATAAGACACTCTTTTGAAGATAGTAAAGTTCACATTTTGGACAGAGGACTGCTGGTTGGGAAGAGGTCAAAGAGGACATCTATGTCACAGTCCTTTAAGTAGTTCCAAGAAGGCTCCACACCCATTTGCACTACTCAGGTGACTCTGAGAACACAGATAAACCTCCAAGTGGCCTCAGTGACTCTCTAAAAGAATACAAATGACCATCTGTCTGCAAGGAATATAAATCCTTCCATTTCCCACCATCCAGTCAGAGCTCAAGAAGCTTCTTGGATGAGAAGCGAAACATCTTCGAAGAAAAGCAATGAAGTCCAGTGGCCTCTTGAAAAAGCACCTTTGGGACAACCATGACCTCGATGACTGAGAAACTCCATAGACATTTAGCTAAGAACAGTTCGAAGTTCTTTGTTAAACCCAGTGAACTATTTTTAGTGTTGCTTAGCAGAAACAACATACAACAATTTCATAGTTTACATCAGTTTAATATGTGTTCACAGTTTCACAATGCATAATACTGACCATGTTTCTAAAAGGAACACTTACTATGAGATGCCATGATTCCAACTACCATGGTAGCATTTCTGCGAACAGTGGGATCTTCATGTATAACTAATTTAAATAAAGGTTCTAATGCTCCAAGTTCAAGAAGTGTCAGCTTATTTTCTTCACCTGAAAAGCAATTGTTAATTACATTTAATTTCAAATATTCCTAATAATTATTATAATAACAGTAAGCTTTCAATTTAACAGACCAATGGGGGGGAAGTGTCCATAAAGAGAAAAAAATCTATTAAATCTGAATACATTTTACACAAATCTTTTAGATATTTTATGTAAGTGTAAAGAGACATATGGGATTTTATACATGCACAGAATTACACTAGTATAGATAGGTTTTGTCAATGGCAACTCAGTTTGTCCAGTAAACTCCCTTAAAATGAAGATTTACTATAACAATAGTAGTGACTGAAGAAGAAAAAAATAACAATATCAAAGGATGAACTACCTTGAAACAGAAAAATATTATATGTATCTGTCAAGGTCACATTTTTCTCTGCAGTGATTCAGCAGTAACCTAGCTAAGGCATGCAGATAATAATATGCATGAATAATAATAATTAATAATAAGATGAAGAAACAGTGGCTCACCTAGTTAGTTGCTGCAAGAAGATTACACAGACTGATTACAAACATTAGCATGACAAAATAGCAACAGTGGTGCATTGAAATATCTGCAAGAAATATCATTTGCCTGCAAGCAAAAACTAGTGGGACCACAAAATAGACAAAATAATAAAAAATGAAGAAGCTAAAGTCCTCTGGGATTTTCAAATTCAAACAGAGTATCTGCCACATAACACTCCAGATTTAACAACTGTCAATAAAAAAGAGAAAATCGTCTGGAGAGTGGATGTTCAGTACCTAGACACAGCAGAATAAAAAGATAATAGAGAAAGAACTGGAGAAAATAACAAAATATAAAATGCAAAGATCTGCAAAAATAAGTAGAACAAAAGAAAACAAAGATAATACCAATAATAATAGGTGCCTTGGGTGCAAAGAAAAAATAATAATCACCAGTCAATTGCAAAAGGCACTTTTACAGTACCTGGAACAGCTTACACCATGCAATGTTATGTTTAACACCATCATAAAATAGCATATCCCTCTTTTAGGTCAATAGGTGGACAAAAATGCCAAATCCAGTCTAAACATCTGGCTGGCTGCATGACAAACTATAATACGCTTTACTTGCAATAGCTTATATCTTGCAATGATAGCTTTAACACCATCAAACAACAATAGAGAGGGTCAATTTGGTTTAGCGATTAAGCTGCTAGGATAGAAATAGGAAAACAATGAGTTTTAATCCCACCTTAGGAAAGGAAACTGGCTGGGTGACTTTGAGCCAGTCACTCTCTCTCAGCCCAATGTCCCCACAGGGTTCTTTTTGTGAGGAAATGAGGAAAGAGATATATTCTAATTATATTCATCACTAGAAATGTGTTATTTATAAAAATAATATGGGATATAAACTAACAAACATTGGCCTATCCCAGATCCTTCAGACGGACTCACTAAGTGGATAAAAATGCCAAATTCAGTCTAAACATCTGGCTGACCATGAGATCAATCATAATAATCTGATTCAATTTTCCTTGCTGTTCTTTATCTGGAAGAGATTGCTTATAAGTCAGAAGCTTGCATAATTTATAGTTCTATATTACTCTATGTACCTAACTCTATGTAATGTCTCACATAGTGTTGGCACTTAAATATTAAACAGAAATAGAAATGATTCATATAAAAATTTAGTACTCATTTATATACAAGTGGAACATGGTAAAAGAAGAACAAACCTTTTAATGCAAATTTATACAGAGCTTCACATGCTTTATATAGCACTTCCTCTTCAGGGGAATTGAGCATCAGTACCACTGTTGCAGCTTTTTTGCTTTCAACTGACAAAGGATCAAACTAGAAAACCAACAGTAAGGGTATTAATATAAGTCAGTGTTGTAAAGTTCAGTGCCATAGGTATTTACTGATAAATATAAGGCAACCATTGAACATATCTTTTGAAATTACATATATAATAATATACTTACATATATATTATACTTATAAAAATATCTTAGAGGAAGGATTCAATTGTTTGCAACTTCAATGGCAATTTAATGGCTTACAAGAAGATTCTATTTTCCTTTCCCTTATTCTCCGTGCAAGGAGATTTGGAAATAGAAATCTGAAATGTGTGCTTTCAGAGTGCTATTGAACTTTGGTTGATGATCCCTATGGCCACAGATAACCTACCTCTAAAACGTGGATGAATAGGAGATGAACAATAATTATACTAAAAAAAGATGGATGGAATTCAAATTCCACTAATTCAGCATTTGGTTTAAAAAATTCCAGCAAACTGCCTCTTTCCCTACTCATAGGAAATCTACTGAGCACATATAATAGAGTTTTTGAAATTATAATGATATATACATCAATCAGTAATTCTGAAAAAGAGATGGCAATGAAATGGTCTCTATGACATATTAATTCTAAGATTTTGAGATCAGTGAATTTTTAAAAGAAGCAACATTTGTTGCTGATCTGGCTATAGGCAACAAACCTAGCAAGAAAGCACTTACAGATTTGATCAAACATCAAAAATTCAATTATAAAATATGATGTACATAGACAATTTAGACTGAAATACATTATATTTTACTCAAGTAATTCTCTGCATCCTACATAAAAGGGTCAAAAAAGCTAAAGATAATAGCATTGTACATGATTCAATGAAGAGCCCCTGCTCAGTGTATTAAAAACAGGTTACTAGGAATGCAAAAAGTCTGAAGAAGAAAGGAAGAGAAATAGTACAGAAAAAATGCAATTGTATTACAAAACCCTGCTGTGCGCTTTCATGTAGAATCCATGGACCACATTGATCAGATCAACTCAAAAAGAACATTCCTATCAAGTGGGAAAAAGGATATCAAGCATGACAACTGAGATGACAGAAATTCTCAGAAGTTTTCGTTTGAAAACTCCTATTTGTACCTGTAATAATAGCCTCAAAGGCAACTTAAGAAATAATGGAATCAGATAGATAGGCTGAACAGGCTATACAATGTTCTTTTCTTTTTTTTTAATGATATAAGGTTCAGATATGCTGCATAAGTGAATCATAGTGTCATATAGCTGAAGAGCTATTTAGGCCACCAGGTCCAGGCCCCTGTTCAGTGCAGAAATCCAAATTAAGCAACCCCAACAAATGGCTGTGGAGCTACCACTTAACAATATCTAGGAAAGGAAAGCTCACAATCTCCTTTGGTACATGACTCTTTTGTTGAACTGCTCTTACTGATAGGAAGTACTGCCTTTGTGCATCTATGACCATTATTCTGTACAATGAGACAACAGAAAATAGAATCTGACCTAATTCTGTGTTAAATACGGTACCTTCAGTTGTCTTATCTCAGCGCAAAACCTCCCTAATTTTCTTGCTATGTCCTTGTTAGAATTAGCTTCAGTCCCTCAATTATTGTCAGTGCCTTTCTCTAGACCTGTTTCAGTTTGTATGCAGTGTGCCCAGAATTGAATATAAAACTCAAGGATCTGATGGATACAGAATATAGTAGACCTATTATATCTCACAATCCAGAGACTAGATTTATTTTGATTTTAGCCTGGAATTGCATTTATCTTGATCCCAACTAATGTACACCTTGTGTTCATCTCACAGCCAGTGGATTTTGATTTGGGTCTTGAAGTACTTTGCAATAGTCAAATCATTTCTCACTAGATATGTATAGGAATGAAGACAAAAGAAATATAGAGGTCAAAATAAACAAATATATTAGGGATATAGAAATTATGAGAATACTGCAAAATTGGATTTAAAAAAATATAGAATATAGCTTATAGAAAATAGATAATTAAAATAAATTACAGAGTTAGTAGTAAGGTATTAACTTCTAAAATAGCTGAAAGCATTTATAATGTACAATTCCTTTTTCTTTATAAGCTTTCTTCTGTAATGTTTTAGTTTTGCCAAGTACTGAAGGGAGATTAAAAAATAATCAACTGTCCAAGTTTCCAATGCTTTATGTCAATCTAATTATTTGTATACAGAAAAGAACCTGCAACAGCCAATCCTCTTCTCAGTTTATGAAGCTGACAAATATCTACCAGCCCACAATGAAACAGAATTCCATAATAGAATGGGTCATTTTTGCCAACAACAAGCAGCATGGTGGCCTAGTGATGAAGACTCGCCTCTGACTCGGAAGGTTGAGAGTTAAATCCTAGCTAGTGGCAGATGTTTCTCTTTTAGGATCCAAAGAAAAAATATCTGCTGCTAACTCCACATGGGATCAGGATGGCCTTCTGGCCAGTAAAAACTCAGTCCCACCCAAATTAAAGGACTATAGAATCGTAAAAAGGAAAAAAAAAATCTCATTAACAACCTTTGTCAGAACCAAAATGAAAGTATTTTCTGGCCTAGAGATCAGACACACTGTTTTATACTAGTTCAATTCCTTCCTCAACAGCTGGTTCCACTCTGTGGTAACCGGGGAGGAGGAATTGACCCAATGATGCTCCTCTGTGGGATGCCACAAACATTAGTATTTTAATCTATGTGAAGCTGATGGGGAAGATCATCCAGCAGTTCAGGGTAGTATCAATATACTGATAATACCCAACTGTACCCAATCCTGGGCCTCATTGGACATGGTTCCAAAATCTTGTCTCACTATCTGAAGGCTATAAATGTCTGGGGTGCTGAAGCCTGGAAATGTAGATTTTCGATAATCAGGTCAGCCCTCTGGAAAGTGCTCCTGCTGGAGATTTTAACGTTATTAGCTTTCCAATATACTAGATCTGTCTGCATGACACACTAGACCATATTATGATTGGATTAATGCACCAATTAAATCCAGATCATGGACAGAGTTTTACATAAGCTGAAACTATAACTTGAAGGATGGAATTTATATCACAATGGCATAGCATATATTTTATTGTTTTTACAAAACCTTCTGATTCAACAGATAATAGATTCAAATGCATCAGTATATTGATACAATGCAAAATTTAAAAACAAGTTTTACATAGTAAGTATTTAAAAAGCTGGATGATACTTAGAAATAATATAAATAAAATAGAACATTTCAATGTCTTTCGAAGTTACAGATATTCTTCTTCTTCTGAGTATCCCATTTGAGTAATCAATTAATATAATGTATGCAATTGAGCAGTAGCATAAGAGATACAGGATAAAATGTATTTATTAATATATATACTGTAATCATTCATATTACAAGCATTTGATTTCCAAGATAGCTTAGCACAACTACATGTTTGAAATAACTGAATATTTAAATACAGTTGAGAGGTGGAAAGGAATATAAATTATATGAATAATAAACAGGACAGTATTGTGAAGCTCATAGTAGGATTTCACGGGTGGGGGTTTAACAGTGAAAAAGAGCAATGTACTATCAGGTGATTTGTCACTGAAATTTAAGACTATACTGATTGAATATAAAGACTTTAAAGTTATGTGTACCTCAGCATGATATGTGAACTAGCCAGTTTGGGTTTATTCAACAAATCATGTTTAACATAATAAAGGCTTAGGACAAGATATAAACTGTTGTACTGTTTACTGATGTAAACAAACAGTCTTACTGCTATCAATTAAATCCTAGTCCCCATATTTTCTTCGTTAATAGGTTTTTGATGAAGCATTAATAGGAAAACAAAGGAAATCTAAAAAGGGAAGACAATATCTGAAATTCTTGAATAGGGAAATTCTTAAGTAGGGAAATATTAAAAGCCCCAGATATATTTTGAGTAGAACTCTGTCTCGACTTAAGAATTAAGGAGAAAAACTAGGAAAGTCCTTTTATTGCAAGACACAATACTAGATACTTACAGACAAGGTGAGGAAATTCCTAATAAATATCTGCAGATAAAGTGAGGGGCTGCCACAAAGAAGAAGGAGTCAAGCTATTTTCCAAGGCGCCTGAAGGCAGGACAAGAAGCAACGGATGGAAATTAATCGAAGAGAGAAGCAACCTAGAACTAAGGAGAAACTTCCTGACAGAACAATTAACCAGTGGAACAACCTGTCTCCAGAAGCGGTGAATGCTCCAACACTGGAAGTTTTAAAGAAGAGACTGGACAGCCATTTGTCTGAAATGATATAGGGTTTCCTGCCTGAGCAGGGGGTTGGACTAGATGACCTCCAAGGTCTCTTCCAACTTTATTATTATTATTACTTATTATTATTAATCTTGCTTATTTATAATATTAGAAGGGAGATCTATAAAGAAATAGTATCAATAAAAGAGAATGTTTGTAGCTCCAGTACGAAATGAAGGTCCTTGGTGCTCTCTGAGCCTGCTTATTTTCTTGCAGACTTTTAATTACCCAAGCTAAGTAACATCATCTGTGCACTGATGATGTTACCTAGTTTGTGTAATGAAACGTCTGCAGGAAAACAAGCAGGCACAGAAAGCACCAAGAACTCCTCAAAGAAACAGTATCTTCTACTGTTAATCCTAGCAATTTAGCAAAGCTATCAACACAACATCCTTACAAAACTTACACAGGTAACAAATCTGTTGAGATCCTCTTCTAGAACATATCAAATTTATAGTGAATTTTTTTTTACAGATTAAAAAAAACATACCTCCAATAAATTAGCAGCTGGACAATGGATGGTAAAAGTATAGATTATGATAACAGAAAAAGAAGTCTTTTGTGGACAGTTATTTCTTTTAAAAGACAAAACAATATGGAAGACTAACCTTCCACAACTTGGTGCCCTGCCTTACAGATAGAATCCAATAATCTTCATGAAATCAATGTGATTTTTTCCCTTGCTTTTTAAACACAAAGACCATGAAGAAGGAATATGATTAAGTTTATATGATATTTTTAGAAACCAAAGGGAAGTAAGTAGGAGTAAAAGACTGAAGAAGAGCAAAACTGGAGATTGTAATTGTGAAACATTGTTATGTTTATATTGCTTTATAAACTTACCACATCCTTTGGAGGAGGCTCAACTTCCTTTTTTACCTTTTTACCCATTCTAAAAACAAACAGAACAGCAGGAATAGTCAGTGAATAGTACATTTTATATTTTTAATCTAATTTACATCATATATAAAAACATTGGTATAAAGAGATGAAAAATTCCTAAAATAACAAAATCTATTCACTCATGTTAGGAAATAGCAGTGGGTATTTTACACACATTTTTTAAAAAACCAAAGTGTACCTTTTCTAACTCCACTAACTAAACACTAGAATATCTGTGTCTCTTTAGTTGAGTCAATTCCTGGTGAATACAAAGTATTATGGAAATGTTTGTTATTGCTCTCTTCCAGGATGTTAAAAAAAACACCACTTCCCAATCTAATCTACAGTCCAGCAATTTTCTAGTGATCTCAATTTCAAATAATAATCAGGTCCAATCCTATTTAGCTTTAAAGAGAAGCCAGAGATACTATTTCCTCTGACTATGTCTAAACAGGTTGTGTGTGTGTATGTATTTGCTTATTATATTTTTCTAATGTTACTTTCATTATTAAATTTATTTCAGTAAATATGTTCATGTTTAATTTCAGGCCTATGTGAACTCACTGAAACCTACTTGCCATTTTAGCATCAACATAGTTCATTAATATTAATATTTGGAAATCACAGCCTAAGGCAAAGCTAAAAAGGCAAACATCCTGAAAATTATGACACACAAAATTCTGCAAATCATTTAACATGGCCCTCTGAGTTTTGTTTCTTACAATTACAAAGAAGTTTGGTATGCTGCTTCAGGTCATCTGTGCTGGTCATTGACCAAAATAAAGATAGATTGACTGACTTTTCATGGTGTTTTGACATAGCGTTGATTAAAATAACAACAACAAGCGGCAGAGATGGAGCAGGCCGACCACCGGCTGGGCCACCAGATGGCCCAGCCCAAGGGAGGTAAGGCACCCTCTGGAAAAGGGGGAAAAATGGCGGACAGTCTTGCTTGGCGACCCCCGTGAAATGGTCGATCGAGCCCAAATGGGGTCGCGACCCATAGGTTGAGAACCGCTGATCTAGAGGATGCTAGTTCTGTCAGTTTTTTCAGATAGGCAGGAAATAGTGAAAGAAGTTCTTTATCAAGAAGTGCTTTGAAGATAATAACCATAATGTTGAATTGCATTCAGAAGCCTACAGGCAACCACTGTAATTCATGAAGTAGCAGTGTTGCATGAACATACCAAGGTATAAACATAATTACTTCTGCTGCTACTTTCTGAAGTCTTCAAAGACAATTCCATGTAGAATATATTGTGACAATCCAGAGGTATATGTGACAATCCAGAGGTATATTGGGAGTATGACCTCCCAATCCAGCAATGGGTGAAACTGGTGTACAAGATTTGTGTGAAAGCTGTTTAGGCCATGATTTTCACTTATTCTTCAAGCAATAGTTGTCAGCCTATAAGTACACCAGATTGTTCAGTAGATCTGTTTAGAGAAGCTTCAAAATTCATAGTCACTCAGGATTGATACTGTTTAGTTAGAGATGAATATCTTAACATGCTAATGGATGACCCAGTAGCCTCATTAAACAGATATTAAACAGTAGGAGGAAATAAGAAATATTCCATTCTAATTTCTTTCCTCCGATGGATTATCCACAACCGGGATGAATATCTTCTCAATACTGTGCCCAGGCCTAAAAACCAGACAATTCAATTAACTGGTTTTCCCACCAAGTTGTCTAAAACAGTCTGAGCCTTTTATCCACAACCTTCTCCAAAAAACAGAAGGTTGGAATTGGATTGGAAATTGTCCAAATCATTTGATCCAGGAATGACTTCTTGAGAAGGATTCAAACCACAGCCTCTTTAAGCAGAAATGAAATCACTCCTCTCTCAAGGATGAATACACCATCACCTGAATCCCATCACACATCACCTCTTGACCAACCACCAAAGGATTTTATATTTCCATTCATAACTCCAATAATCCTCTCCACTTTCTAAGACCAACTGACTCAAACTCTCTCCAGAGTTCCATGGGAAAGCCATAACTTAGCTAATTCAACAGGAAGTGTACAGCTACAGTCCCAGCTTTGAGTGAATGCAAGAGGTTTTATTCAATAGATACTTCAAAATATCCTCACAATAATCCTTCAAATGATCTTCTGGCCCAAATGTCCATAGGAGATATGGCTTATCTTAATTCAGGAGTGGGCAATTAATTTTTCCAAGGAGCCACATAAGAAATTAGGACTGTTGAGGGCTGCCACACTGACTCCACTGTCACCCTCTCTGTCCAATGGCAGCAGGCCAAACAGGGACAGTTAAAGGGTCAGATGTGGCTGGTAGACTGTAAAATGCAATTTGTCCATTAAATAACAGTGGAAACAATACCTCCAGGTTTGGTGGTGATTGAATTCTTTTGTTTGTTTTTTATTTTGCAGCTCTTATTACCATGCTGTAATTCTTAATAAAGGCCTTGCCTATCTTTGATTAGATTTGCTTTTCATCTTCCTTCAACATCATTCCAAGCATTTCTTTTGCTGGCCCCCAATGCCTCATACCCAAATGAAAAATAAATAAATACTCTTGTCATCTCCAGTCCAAGAGAACCAACCACTCTCCTTTAAAACCATTAAACATACATCTTGCGGGCCCAACTTCATCTGGTACAATACACATAAATTATAGAAAGCACTGACAGTAGTGGGAGTAGGCAGCTGAAAGTTCACTTCTAATGATACAACATGAAGAAAGCAAGATGGCCACTGTCCAAGCTGATGAACTCTGCAGTAGCTAGGATCCAACTTGACCATTGATGTTGATCCTGTTCCCATTGCTGTTTCCTCATAGTACCCATTTGCTCCAGCATGCTGGCATATTGAAGCTTATCATTCCTGATCAATGCCATGAGAGCCATGAGAAGAAACTGATGCCAACTATAGAGCAGTATTTGCTGCCATTACCACTCTTCTGCAATACCAAGCAGCTGATTGGTAACGCCAGACAAGCACATGCCAACTCTTAAAAAGTTGATGATTGTTTTTCCTGCCACTGAACTTAAAAACTCAACTGCCTTTCTGAACTGAACTCTGTCACCTTCTTCAAATCTGATAGAGTTTTCCACAAGACAGTTCTAAACCAATCATTCCAAAAGCACCAATCATTATGGCATCTACTGCTGCTGCTGAAAGGAATGTCTAAAAGGCCCTGGGGACACAGGGAACAAACTGGACTTTTGCAAAAGGGATGCCTCAGCCTAGAGGATGGGAGAAGCATGAGAAAGTGACTCTGAGTAACTCTAACTTAATTATAGTACCGGTAGGTATAAATTGATCTAGCTTTAGCAAACTTCCAATGTTCTGTCCTTTACTCTACTAGCCATAAAGATGTTTTCAGAAAGGAAACTAGTTCTTGTTTCCTGAATTTGCCTGCCTCTAAGGCAGCGGTTCTCAACCTATGGGTCGCGACCCTTTTGGGGGTCGCACGAGCCTTTCACAGGAGTTGCCTAAGACCATCAGAAAACACATATTTCCGATGGTCTTAGGCAGGGCTTGTAAACCGCCTTCTCTCCCTCCCCCCCCCTCCGCTCCACCTCACTTGTTTGTGGAAAATATGCTGCTTGGTGGCAGGCTGCACGAACTCTACCAAATGTGCCCTGCAGGGGACGCATGAAGAGCGCAGGTGCAGAGCAAGGCCCCGCCCTCCCCAGAGAATCATTGTGCAGCAACCGGATTGACTTCTTCTTCTGCATGCAGGTCAGCGAAGGGGAGGCCGCTGCAGCACCCAACTCCTGGTGACCCCCGAACTTGCGCCAGCTGACGCAAGAGGGAGGGAAGGAGGAAGGGACTTTCTCCTCTCCTAAGCTTCAAAGCACGATCGGTTTCCCAAGGGCGCCACAATCCTCACGAAAGCGGGGGGGAGAAGCAAAGGGGGCGAGAAAGCTCGCGGCGGGCTCGAAGGAGCACCTGTCAGCGTTGGTGACGAGAAATTCCCCACAAACCCAGGGAAGGGGTGGAGAAAAGGAGCCCCCTTTGGGAGGAAATTGCCACCTTCTTCTCCTTGGCTTTGCGCTCTTCTGTTTCTTGGCAGCCGGGCTGGCAAGCCTCTCCTGGCTGGAACTTCCTTTCCTTCCCTCCTCTTGGTCTCTTCCTCCTTCCCTCCCTCTCCCATTGTCCCTCCCTTCCTTCCTTCCTTCCTTTGCTTCGCCTCCCTCTTTGTCCCTCCTTCCCTCCCTCTCCCCCTTGTCCCTTCCGTCTTTCCTTCCTTCCCTCTTGTCCAGGATTGGGGCGAGCCTCTACAACTGATCCGTGCTTCTGCAGCTGTAGCTGGTCTCCTTGGCTCCTGCCCAGCAAACTTGCTCCCTAGAAAACATGCGCTTGCTAATTTAGCAGAAGCGTGAATCAGCTGTAGTCCGGCGCTGATCCTGGAGCTTCTGCTAACTTAGCAAGCTGTATGCCTTTTGGCAAACCTGAGCAAGTGAGCTGGGCAAGCTCTCTTCTGTCTCTGCCTGTGCACAGGCAGGTTTGCCGGCAATAAAGCCCCCAGCCACGCTGGCAACCTATCCCCCTCCCCTTGTCCCTTCCTGGGCACGGAGGCGGGGAGGAAGGAAGGGACGAAGAGGGAGGGAAGTAAGGAACAATGAGAGGGAAGGAAGGGAGGAACAATGGAAGGGAGGGAAGGGAGGAAGGGACAAAGAAGGAAGGAAGGGAGGGAGGGAGGGAGGGAGGGAGGGACAAGGGGAGAGAGGGAAGAAAAGAGGAAGAGACTAAGAGGGAGAGGAAGGAAAGGAAGGAAGAAAGAAGGAAGGGACAATGGGAGAGAGGGAGGGAAGAAGACACTAAGGGAGGGGAAGGAAAGGAAAGGAAGGAAGGGACAATGGGAGAGAGGGAGGGAAGGAGGAAGAGACTAAGCAGGAGGTGAAGGAAAGGAAGGAAGGTAGGAAGGAAGGGACTGGGAGAGAGGGAGGGAAGGAGGAAGAGACTAAGGGAGGGGAAGGAAAGGAAGAAAGGAAGGGACAATGGGAGAGGGTGGGAAGGAGGAAGAGACTAAGAAG